GTCCCTGGTCTCGAGCACAGTCACAAGGCCTGCCAGCCAGGCCAACTTATCTGGCACAAGTTTTAGATACCACTCAGTGTGGCCACCAGGGAGGACTACAGAACTTGAGCACCTTAACCTTGAGGAAAGAAGAGAAGAGGAAAAACAGGTGTAACCGAGAGAGGAAATCCTGCCAGGCTTCCAGGATAAGACGGGCAGGTCCCAAACCCTAGGCAAATTGCGCTTTCTCTCCAGGCCTCAGTTTCCTCATCCATACAAGCCTCAAGTCATTAGACAGAAAGTTTAGAAACTCAAACTCCAGAGATTCTTCCCTCTATCTCTAAAAGGACAGATCATCTCCTAGGTATAAACAGTAATTATGATAACCATTGTTAGCTTTGAAAAGCTCCCACTTACTGGGTTCTTACAATGGGTCAGGCACTGACCTACTCAATCTCCCTAGCAAAAGAGGACTGTTACGATCCTCATTTTGCAGCTGAGGAAAACGATGCCCAGAGAGATTTAGGTACTTTGATCAGGATCCCACAGTTAATGGTGGCAGAGCTGGGATGTGAAGCCAGGACTTCTGACTCCGCTCTGCAATGCTGCCCACACCCAGTGGGGCAGGAATGGGCTGCCCGCAGCCACTGCCTCCAGAGCACAGAGCCTGGAGGAGATGAGACGTGTACTGAAGGAACCGGAATTCAAAGCCAGGTGTGTGAAGGGCCCTGTAGAGGCCCAGATAACAGACTGTGCACATGGAGAGCAGGGAGCAGGCAGCGCGAGCTCCGCGGAATTAGGAAGAGGTCACACTGGAGCTGGGCACTGGCTGGGGGGGATTTTGGGGTGGGTGAGGGTAAGTGACTGGGGTGCAGCACCCTCACTGTCAGCAGAAATGTGGAGGCCGGAAGGGATAGGGCGCACACAGGGAGGGAAAAGTGGCAGGTTCTCTTTGAGGGTTGAGGGGCACTGGGAGGTGAGGCACTGTGGTCACATAGCAGGCCACCTCCCACGCCTTGGCCTCAAATAAATAAATGCTCATTTGCAATGCACATTTTAAAATTAGACTAATCCAATCTGTATCAACAAATAAAAGAGGTAGGAATAAAAAGGGGCAGGAGGCAACTTGACACAAACCCTCCTTCATCGAGATAAGAGCTTCAGGCCTCTCTGTAACACCTTGGGTGACAGACTGGCTTTAGCCCTGAGGCCACACAGTCCAAGACATCCACATCCACCCCTTCCTCTAAGCTCCCAACCTCCAAGCTGAAGCTGATGGACAGAGCTTTGTGCCAGCCCCACAGGGAGGAGAAGGCACCTTGGCTTCTGACCCCTCAGGCCGAGAGGCCCGGCTTTACCCTCTAATGAGGGGAAGGAGGGGGACGGCCCTGCCCCCCAGCCCACGCACCCCACCCCTCCCACTCCTCACTTTCAAATCCATCAGCCCTTTCCTCCAGCCCCTACTGATTCAGCCTGACCCGTGATTCAGACTTGTTTCCTCACATTTGAGGAACGAGAGACTGAACCCATTTCACAGACTGAGAAATGAAAGCAGAAGGTTCCAGTCCTCTGTGAAACCACAGTCCCTGGCAACCCAGACCTTGGTGGCTGATCCAGAAATTCTGAGGGGCCCCTCAAAGGTCAGCTGGGCTGAGTGTTTTCCATGGGGCAAGGGCTCTCCCAGGCAGAGCGCTGCAGGGGAACTTCCAGAAGGGGCAGCTATGCAAAGCTATGAGAAAAACGGAGTAGAAGTGGGCCGAGCACCACCCCAAGATTCTCGGGCGAAAAGGGAACTGAGAGAGGTCACCCAGGCATGACCCTCCAGTACATGCCTCCGGCACCCTCTCCAACTCTCTGGCCTCTTTGCATATACTGTCAGCAAGGGAGACCTTGCTGCCTCCCCAGGCAGTTAATTTCCGTTAGCTTCACTGTCACCCTTGGTGTTGTCTCTGCCCTTGAGAGCCACACAGGACAGGACTATGCCCTCTGCCAGTAGACAGCCCTGCAGGGAATTGAAAGCAGTGACACTGCCACTTAAGGGTCCTTCCCCAAACCCTAGACCACCTGTGATGACCCTATCCCCAAGATACCTACAGAGTCCTGCAGCCTCCCTCTCCTTCCCTCTCAGTCCCATGGCCTGAGTCAGACCTTTGGTCAACTTTCTGCCAGACCACAATTAGCATCATCTCTGAGCTGGTCTCAACCCTGCCAGTCTCGGCACCATCTTTGGCCAAACGACCCCTGAGAGGAGCAGCACAACAGGGCAGAAACCGTTCAAGCCTGGGTTCAAACACAGTTCTGTAAGTGACTCGACCCCTCGGAGCCTCCACTTCCTCATCTGAAAATGGGGTGGGGCTGGGGGTGGCCAGCAGCAGCTACTTTGCAGGGGTATTGTGAGGTCTCAATGGAGCGTCTGTAAGGAGCCTGGCACAAGACACAGTAACAGGCATCGACTCAACGGGCTGCTTACAACCCTCTGTCCTCTCCACCAGCCACAGACTGAAATCCAAACCCCCGAGGAGGACACTGCAAGCTCCCCACGACCCCATCTTGCCTCCCACAGCCCCCTTTCCCACTGCCTGAACCCTCACAAACACTTCCTCCCCCAGGAAGCCCTGTCGACATTAACAACCAGAAGAGCTTTTCCCCTCCACTGACCTTCCAAAGCCCATCTATCACTGATCACATCCTGCCTCTTCGCCATCACTTGATCCTTGCCTTCCCTCCCCTGTCAGATTAGTGGCCTCTCCAGCCAGAAAGCAGGAGCATCTCACCTCATTTCATTTCCCAGTCACCCCCATCCACAGACATTTTCCATACATATTTAACAAATTACCCTAACGTTCCATTTCAAGTAAAGAATGTCCAAGTCCTCCAAACAGTCCAGATATTTCAAGCCATACCTAAAACCAAATTCCAAGCCAGGAGAAGTCTGCCCAGTCTCTAGGGACTCGCAGGCCTGGCTTTGACCCCAAAGTACAGAAGATGGGTCAAGCAGGCCTGAAGCCCAGGGCAGAGAAAGCTCTGGGCTGCTAAGACCAGAGTCCACTTCTAAGTGTCTCACGTGCAGGGTCTCTCAGGTGGCCCCTAGGTCAACCCCCAGCCTATTTCATATTCTTAACCACATCCTCAACTTGTGATTGTAAAACTGTTCTTTGTATACCCCTTGTGATAGGAGACTCACTATCCATCTTTTCATTCTTGCCGGCTCCTCCTCCCTTCACCTGTTGATTCTCTTGCTCTGATCTCAAGGAGAGTCTGACCACACGCCTAGGGTCATCCCCATCCCTCAGGAATCTTTTCAGCCCCTCCACTCAATCCCCCACATTTCTGAGCCCCCTTAAAGTCTAGCTAAGCAGTGGAATTTCCACTCTTGTTCCTACCAGCTGGCAGTGAACTGTCAGCCCAGGAGGACCCCCCTATTCTCAGGGCCCAGGAAAAGCCGATGGACACTGCAAATTCCAGAAGCAGCACTGGCACAGCGCTCAGAGAAGTTAGAATAGTAATGCACAAACTTTCCTCTCCCCAGGACTTTTTTTCACTATCTGCTCCCACTCCATTGTTTTAAGATGTCATTCACTAACTAGCAATTTGTTCTCCATTTTTTTAGAAATTACTCAAGGCCCCCACTCAGAGCCTGACCCACAGTCATAGGATGGTACCCCCACCAAAAGGCTAGGCCGGCACAGGGCACTAAGGTGAGTGAAAGTCTGGGCCACCCCACATTCACTCCTGGGCTATTTACATGGAAAATGCATGCCCTAGGCTCAGAGACCCATACACGCATGCATTTTCCATGAGGATTCTGCAATGGAGACACGTGCTCAAAGTCCACCCCTCATTACTGTTCTCAAGGACCCTCGGGGCTGGGGCATTACTTTTGCAATGAGGACCCTGCTGATGAGTCACACAAGAGGACACCTGCGATATAAATCCCATCACCCTAAGGGCTCCACTCCTGGCCCTACCTCTGCCCCCTGCTGATCTGAAAGTGACCTGGTCTGGATGGAGCAGAAAGGCTCTTCGGTCCCCTGGGTGCTGGGGAGAGGTCTGTTGACAAAGCCACAAGCTGTCCCCAGCCAGAGCCAGGGAGCACTCTTCCCTGCACCACCCATACTATGAAAGCGTTCCTACCACGGACCCAGCCAGCAACAGAACTTGGACCCTTAACGGAGCTCCAGGCCCGGGCTCCAGCTGCCCACAATAACAAGAGCCAGGGCACAAGACCTCAGCCCACACCAGTACCAGACAGAAGGAGCATCACCTGGGGGTAAGGGTAAAGGGAAGAGCG